TTACAGACGCACACACTGCATCCCGTACATACACAGAAACACACCTTGCAGCCCTTACACATACAAACACAGATTCACACAATGCATTCCTTACACACATATCAGGACATCCCCCTACTCCACCCCCTGTGAACAAACTCATTGGTGGAACATGAAGGTGGACCCTGGGACCCAGACCTTGAGCTGTGTAAAGGGCCTTAAAAAATGGAGCTGCTTCCCGTTCTCCCAGAACATTGATTTTTGTGACCACAGTTACAAACAGCCTCCAGAGAGCCTGTTCTACACCAGACCAGTGGAGCCAGACTGCAGGTAGAGCCCATCATCATCCTCATCTGGTTGTAAGTAGGCAATCTAGTATATTATTCGTGGCACTAATCTCTAGTCCCCAGAACCACTTCAGCTTAATGTAGTGGTTCTGGTGTCCATAGCCTGTCCCTGCAGGCCTTTTAATGTAAACACGGCGGCACTGCAGCACTGCAGCACTGGCGTTAGTTAACATGGTAGATCATATGGGTGGGGCATTGTGATGTCACATGGGGGAGGGGCGGCAAACTTTACTTTTGCCTAGGGCAGCAAAAATCCTTGCACCGGCCCTGCCTCCCTGACTGTAAGAATGTGATCACCCAGTGAAACTTCCTGTACCGTTTAGAATCATTGGGTGAGCTTACATATTCAACAAATTTACATTCATTATATTAGTGACTGGTGGCTTCTGGCAGGTAAATGTGTTTCTCTACAGGTTGGTAATTATAACTAGGTGAGTCTAGTTATGAGTCTAGTATAAATGAGGATGAATAAATCTTTATTGATTAGAATTCATATTGCAAAATACATGAAAATAAAACCGTTTATACTCGATTTTAGTATTGACTGGTTTATGGATTTTTTGTTTTCTTCAAGTACTGCATAGATGGAGAGTGGCAAGGGAGGGCAAGTGTGAGTATGGGGTGCAGGTACAAGAACGGTATAGTGAAAGGTTATTGGTGAAGGGAAGAGGCCGGGCTGGTGCATATCTGCTAACGAGGGATATAAAGGATATAAGCAGGAGCACAGTTATAGTAAGCTCTGTATGTAAGCATGAGAACTTTAAATTAGATTTTAAATGAAACAGGAAACCAGTGTAAAG